AGTTAACTGTTTTCTTTCCTTTCTACATTTTCTAAGAAAAACTTCCTATCTCGGATACTACTACAATTAATAAATACATCAAATTTAAAATGCAGGTGGTTAGCTGGGAATGGTGGCAAATACTTGTAGTCTCAGAGGCATGGGAAGGCTGAGGTCCTAAGCTTGTGTCTAAGTAAAATATGTAAGCGTTTCTGGGTTCAATCCCTGGTAAAACAACAAATAAATAAATTGCAGGTGGTTAACAATATCCTTTTAAAATTAATAAAGCAATTTCCATATTAGGAATCAAAAAAATAGAAACAGTAAATATTTTTCTAGTCTCATTTTAAACTCTATATTATAGTCCACAAATTTACAGAAAAAGAACAAAGTATAAATTATAAGCACAGGGATAATGCTGGAGAGACAAGTCCTACCTTTCTGAAAAAGTGGGAAAACCTTTGGGAAAATAATTATAGAGTAAGCTCGACACTTAATGTAAGATAATACCACAACTGATGCCTGATAAAATACAATAAAATGAAATTTTATATTCGGTTAATTCTGACTCAGCAGTACTTTTCAACCACATTTTGCTGGGGAGTAAAATGATAAAAACAATTCTAGTAATTCCAAATTTTGTCATTGTTATTGATGTTTTTGGGTACCAGGGATTGAACTCAGGGGCACTTGACAACTGAGCCACACCCCTAGCCCAATTTTATATTTTATTTAGAGACAGGGTCTCACTGAGTTACTTAGTGCCTCACTTTTTGCTGAGGCTGGCTTTGAACTCTTAATCCTCCTGCTTTAGCCTTCTGAGCCACTGGGATTATAGGTATGCACCACTGTGCCCAGCTTCTAGAAATTCCATATTTTGAAGGTTAATATGTGTTATATTTCTATCACAGATGACCATAAGATTTTTCCATATATCTTTTATGTAACTGAAAAATAGATTTAAAAATTGCTAATTGGTTCTAAAACTCATTCCCATAACTCATACTTCTTGAGAAAAGTAGTAAATTATTAATTATGGATTGACAATCTAATTATTTAAGAGGTGACAGTTTCCAATTAGACTTTGAAGTAGAGAAGAGGAAGACATTGTCCAGATTCATGATTTCATATTGCAGCTGAGCAGATTTCTCTGGAAAGTGGTCTGACTAGGTGTGCCTTTCACTGACAGATACTAGTTTGGTAATATTTAAGGGACCCATGTCACACAAGAAGAGAGAATTCCCAGGACTGTTATGGTACATGCCTATAGTCCCAACTACTCTGGATGCTAAAGTAAGAGAATTACTTGAGCCCAGAAGTTTGAGGCCTGCCTGGGGATCACTGTAAGATCCAGTTCATTTAAACACACACACACACACACACAAATAAAAATAAAATAATTCATCCTTACAGGAGAATGAAAATTCTTATTCCATAACTAAAGTAATACCTCTATTTATTGCCAACACTGATGGTCTGGTAATGGGTCAGGGAGAAGGCTATCATTAGTTTTTGTTTTTTAAATAAGGTTCAAAATAAATATATTTCACTGTAATTTATGATTTTCATTTGAGATTATACCAGAGTAGTTCCTCGAACTCGGCAATTATTTGCTGAGAAGCAGCACTAGGTGTTTAATGGAACTATAACTAAATCTGACAAAATTGGCACGTGAAAAAACTTCATTAAAGTAAGGATTTTATCTATTAGACAATGAATTAAAGGATAGTATAATAAAGGTTTATAAAAGACAAATCAGATTATAGGAACTGGACCAAAATTCATACTAATCTGTCTGAAGTACCACACTGCCTTCTGTCATATCCCAGTAACTAAGAATCTCAGGTCAATGAAGAAGTGTTTTTTTCATATAATATGTGCTAATAAAAATAGCAAAAGTGGTAATGTTTTTTCTAAGAAAGTTCTACTACTTATATATTATAATGACAAAAGAATACACTATGACAGTTTATGGCAAACTTACCTCTGTAATAAAACAGGCAAAGGTCAGAAAGCACAAACCAGCGTTTCTTCCACAGCTTCATGCCAGTACTGTCCTAAAATTAAATCAATGTATTTATTTTCATTCCAGGCAATTAAAACTCACTTTTGGTGATTTCGTTTAAAATAAGCTTTTAAAACAAGATGTCTCTGTTATGTGTGTAATATAACCAAATTAAAAGGCCAAACAAAATTATAGGATACTAAGTTTCAGTTAGACAGGAGAAATAAGTTCCGGCATTTTACTGCACAATAGTAGTGACTACAGACAACAATAATGTACTATATATTTCAAAAAGGCTATAACAGAAATTTGAATGTTTTCATCATAGAGAAATGATAAAATATTTGAGGAATAGATATACTTCCCTGATTTGAACACTATACAATGTTTACATGTATGGAAACATCACATGGCACCCCATAGATATACAAATTTTTATGGGTTAATTAAAATAATCTAGAAGTCCTTTAATAGGGACTTATATTAAGATATTTCTAAGTAGACTGGTCTTTGAAAGTAATACTGCCATGTACAAAAACTACACAGAAGCAATTTGACTTGGTTTTATATTTGTAAGCAATTTAAAACTCTCTGAACACACAATTTTGCTATGATGAGAATAATGTAGCCATGCATCAGTGTGTGCACTCTGTTAAGCCAGATTTAATAAATATATTAATCTTCAACAAGAGGCAAAATATGTGAATTGAAATTGTTGCAAAGGTAACCTGATTTAAAATGAGTGTAAATAAAAAAAACAATATGCAAAAACACTTCATAAACATTTTTATTGTTATGTCTACAGTTTGGATTTTGCTCACCCTGCAGAAATGAGTAACTATTTGGCATTTATTTCTACATAATTCAGTTCATAAAAATATCAGTCTCAAGCAAAATTATAATTTTTAAAAAAATAAAACTACTTTCCTTAGGCAATAAAATTCAATTGCAAGAAAAAATTAAACAGATACCCCCAAAAGATAGAGGCCAGTTTGAATGCACATCAATATTTCTTAGTTTATTTGTAATTGTGAAAGTCATCTAATGATAACTTTAGAACAACAGAAATTAAAAACCCTTGGATATAAAAGATTTTTCCTTAAAATTAACAGATATCAAGGAAGAAACCAAAAATAAAGGTAATTAAATGGTACGTGTTATTTTTTTATTCCTTTTTATATTCTTTCTTTAGTACAGATAAAAGGCCCTGCAAAAAAATTTTTTTTAAGCATACATATACCACAAACTTAAACACTTATGACTAGAGAGGTGATGACAGGAGGATCGCAAGTTGGAGGCCAGCCTCAGCAACTTAGCAGGACACTGTCTCAAAATAAAAAAGGACTGGAGATGTAATTCAGTGGTAATGCACTCTGGTTTCCATTTCCAGGACCCAAAAGAAAACAAAACAAAACAACAAAAACAAAATCACAAAAGCACCCAAACCAAAGAGAAAAAACTTATGTTAGAGCCAACTAGTTGGTAACACTTCTGCAATACTACATTAACTAAGGGATAAGGGAACTAGAAGAAGAATTATTTTAAGGAGTCCTATTATCCACTATTAAGACAATACTGTCCTGATCTACTTGAACATATTTTGAACAATGACTAGTTGAAAAACACAAACACTACATAAAAAATATATATTTTTATATATACTAAAGTCTTTTGGTGAAAATCTTTTGGTTTAGGTAAGCTTAAATGACAGATAGTTAAAATATAACAATGATTTTTAAATGAAAAATAAAAATTTGGCTGGGTATGGTGGCATACGCAGCAGCTTGGGATGCTGGGCAGGAGGATTGCAAGTTCAAAACCAGCCTCAGCAACTTAATGAGGCCCTGAGACCCTTAGCAAGAGCCTGAATCAAAATTAAAAAATTAAGAAGGGCTGAGGATATTGGGTTCAATCCCTAGTTAAAAAAAAAAAAAAAGCCACCCAAGCATATGCCCAGTCAACTTAGTGAGAATTTGCAAAATTAATTTACTTGAATGGTGGGGAATTCTCTGAATTTTAAGATTATCCTCTTTCAATACATTAGCTAAACTCAACTTTCAGATGAAATACACTATAATGAATATTCACAAAAAATTCATTATGAGTTTTAATGAATAAAAATTAGCTCATCTGAAAGTAATTAGCAATATTTAACAAAACAGATTAACACCACCAATAAACTAATTCAAAAATATTTTTATTTTTAATAAACTCAGTAATTGTATATTTTTATGGGATAGTATAACATTTTAATACATGTATACAAATGTGTTAATGAACTGGGATGACTGGCATAACATTTGTTACCTCAGATTATGTATCATTCAATAAACTAATGTTTAATTTGCTTTGTCATGTAGAATACGAGAACAAAGGCAAAAGCCTTGAATGTTGAATACATTCTCTCAATTATCTGGCAACCTACTCATCTGAAATCTAGCTGAAATCTGAAAGTAAATAACATCCTCAAAGTAATAAAAATGATGGCAAAGTCCAAGGGGATAATATCCTTACATGCTTATGAATCCCCATACTAATAACAACTTTCCAAGAAATCTTAGTTATCAAGCTTCCTACATAGTACAATATAAACCCCAACTTATAAAGCTCTCTGAAAGTGAACTCTGAGCAAATAGCCAAACAAGAAAAAAGAAAAACCAAACAGCCCAAAAACTTATAAGGAAGAGAGAATAGTCTTAAAATACAGAAGCCAAAACCCAGAAAAAGTCAGAAATATCCAAATTATTTTCAGATTCCTCTATGAAGAATGGCAAGAATGCGCTGGGGTTGTGGATCAGTGATAGAGCACTTGCCTAGCACATGCAAGGCCCTGAGTTCAATCCTTAGCACCACATAAAAACAAATAAAAATAAAAGATGATATTGTGTCCAAGTAAAAAATAAATATTAAAAAAAGAATGGCAGGGAAGTATAGAGTTGTGCATTTATCTAATGATTTTTAATATGAATAGAAAAGCCAAATGTTTAAAAAATATTTCTGCCTGGAAAATTTACAAAAATATACAAAATGCTTCACAAATTCATATGTCATGCTTGTAAAGAGGCCAGGCTCATCTTCCCTCTAATTCCAATTTCAGTATATAAGATGTTGAAGCAAGCACTGCATAAAGAATTTTAGCATGGGATTCCTAACATACAGCACCTATTTAATTTTAAACCTAGAAATACCTATAGCCAACATATACAAACAGTCTTTATTGTAACATCCATTCCTTTTTCTGTCTTTATTTTTCACCTGACACTCTTAGGGGTAATAAAAGTCAAGGGGTATGGGAGACTATTGTACATTTCCTTTTCTATTTTATATATTTTCATGTAATTGTCTTGACAATATTCAGCTCAAAAGATCTCTTTAATTCTATCCTTTATTTCTTATCAAATGGGAGAAAAAAATACCTGTTTATAAAGCCAACCTCGTCTGACCACAGGTGCGTTAGGATTTCTTTTAATTGAATTTGACCTCTTTCCAAAATTATGAACTTTCTTTGAAGCCCGTGATGTCTAAACAGAAAAAAAAAAGAGAAAATGCAGTAATAATGCTTCGATATTTGAAATTATTTTTTATCTTCACTATTTTAATCTTGTATTTTTTAGATTTCTCTGAGACTTGTAGGAAAAATAAATTATCACAATTCAATTTTTGTTGGCTTAGTTGTTTCAAGTGTAAGAGTTCAATACAAAGAATCTTCCTTCCCTCAGGATATTACAAAAGGATCATAGGTTTTACACTATTGCCTTTAAAATTTATATATACTATTCTTAAAGTGCAGTATTTTGTTTTATCTACTTTATAAAATGAATAATAAGTAAAAATTATTAACAAATGTATAAGAATAAGTCAAATGATAAAACATTTTGCTTTATATCTGCATTTAATAGTGTTTTGATGAATGAAGGCTAACAGCATTATTTGTACACAACAGTATTTTTTCTAAACTGCTTTCAACTAGATAATGCTTACAGTATAAAATTCAAATAGTACAAAAATATAAAACAGGACCAGTCTACTTCTTACCCTTGAGGTCTAGCATCCAGCCAACCCTCCTGACAATCTAGTGAGGTAATCTATTTACTATGGGCATGTGCATTCCTATCAATCTAAAATAATTGTTCTTATAGTTATGGAGTATCTTATCTTTTTCAAATGACTATGCACATAGTATCCATTTTACTTGAGACTCACTACATAAAGAAAAAGAAAAATGTCTATTTTACTACACTTTTGCCAATATGCTATGCTTTAAAACTTTTTGACTTCTGCAAATCCAATTGCTGAAAAATGGTCTTTTTTTGTTATAATTAGCATTTTTCTTATTACTGAGACTGAGAATCTTTTCCACGTACTAAAGAGTAAATTCCATTTTCTTTTTTTAGAATTGATTTTACAGTATTTGCCCACATTAAAATGGGATCATAACCCTTTTTCTTATTAATCCAAGGCAGTTCTTTAATTATCAAGTAATTATTCTTTGTTATATGAATTACAGATATTCTGCATATATGAAAATAATGTGGTTGACTTTCTCATTATTTCATATTTTTACTTTTGGTTTTACATCATATTTCAAAAGTCCATCTGCATTCTGAGTTTAGCTTTCTTCTGTTATTTAGTGAGAATCAGAAATTACTTACATTATTTGAAAATTTTATTTACTTGTAATATCCTACAAAACTTTATTTTAAACAACTTAGCAGACATTAAAAAAAAAACTATTGTCTACTGCCCATTCCCTTACAATAAACATAATTTTTAATTATAACTATTTTTCTACTATGTCTCCTAAATCTAGGCATTCATGTAGTCAGAAAATTTTTGATTTCTAGGTTATTGTATTAATCTTCCCTTTCAATCTTAAATTGAGCCAGGTGTGGTGGTAAACATCTGTAATTCCAGCAACCTGGTAAGCTGAGGCAAGAGGATCTCAAGTTCAAGGGCAGCTTCAGCAACTTAGTGAAACTCAGTGAAACTTTTGTCTCAAAATTAAAAATTCAAAAATGGATCGGGATGTAATTCAGTGATAAAGTGTTCCTAGGTTCAATCTCCAGTATCAAAAAGAAAAAAAAAGAAGAAAACCATAACAAACCTTACACTGATTCAATAAAGTGCCTATTCTCTCACACAAGCATTTTTCTATATGCAAAATTATTCAACATGTAAACTAAGATTTAAAAAAAATGTCATTAAATTACAACTTTATTACTTTATATTTCAAACACTGCTCCTCATATCAATTACCTCCAATACAGTTAAATCCATGTAGTAATAAAAATATAATAATTACACATACTATCACTGATCAATAATTAACAATAAGCAAAGTACTTACTCTGCCTATAGGGCTCATTGGATGTACTGCATAATCTGAACTCATGTTATAGTTAGAAGCTTCATTTATCATACTTATAGGCCGTTCTTTCTTTTCTTCAGACGTCATGGTTGCAACAGTCCTGAAAATAAAATATGTTAAATAAGTAAACTGTTTTACAGTAATGCTTTCCTGAAGTTAACAAAGCAAGAGTCCTGTTTTCAAAATAACTGGATACTTGTTACTACAGAGTAACATTTAATATTTACAACTATTTTAAACACAATTAACTCTTCTGCTAAACTCAATGTAATTAATATCATGCTAATTCTAAAAGGCATTACTGAAGATAATCAACTTGGTCATCTAACAGGAAAATTACAGGCCAGGCATGGTGATGTACACTCGTAGTCCCAGCTACTCAGGAAGCTGAGGCAAGAGGATTGATTGCTTGAGCTTAAAGAGTTTGAGACCAGCCTGGGCAACAAAGCAAGACTCTGTCTAAAACAAAAAATAAAAACAAGAAGGAATTATAAGAAACTGGGGGTGAGTTCAGTTGTAGAAGACAAGATTACATGCTTGTGGCTCTGGGTTCAATTCCCAGTACCACCCTCTGGAAACAAGAATAAAAGAGGAATAAGATTAATTATTCTAATGTTAAAAATAAGAAAATGTTAATATTTGTGGCCAGCTTCATAGTATATAAACTTTTTTCACTTATTTCTTTTAATGCTTATGAAATCCTAGGAAATCTACTGAATGGAAGGAGAAAAAATGAGTTCAAATTAAGTTTAATAATTTTGCCAAGTTTATACAGCTTCTTTAACTTTTATATTCTGTGCTCTTGAGAATTAAAACTTTCTCAGTTTGAATTCTCACAAAAATAGCTTCTAGAATTATATTCCTCCTGAAAACTACATTTTAGGTCATGTCTACACCACATGTAGTTAACAGCTGGGACTATTACACTTGACTGCAACTGTTCAGGTAAGAAAACTGTTCAATTTTACTGTATTAAATACGGATTAGAGCAATTTCAATGCTAACCTCATTCTGATTACAGGCAATGCATGAAACTTTTTACTTACTGTTCATTCACTACAAAAATACAATTGTCCTGTGATGGCTGTCCTGTGACTGGATGTTTGCAGGTCACTTTCCTTTCATTATGGCTGAAAGAATAAAAGAAAAAGATAACATGTAGGCACTTCTATTATCACTAATATTTTGGTAGCAAAACACCCATTTCTTTATTGTAAAATTAAGGTTACTGAACAAAGAAGATGAAATTCAAATCACCTACTATCTACTGTGGGTGAATACGTGCAAAAATGCTACTTAACAGTTTTATAATATCACTGAACTCACTGCAGCTTACTCTGATCTCAATTCTTTCTTCTTGATAGTTGATTTGGCATACAATCACTATACGCGCGCACGCGCACACACACACACACACACCCCTGTATTATTCTCTAATCATTTTGTCAAAAATGAATTAAAAGTATAAGAAACCAACATATCAACTCCAGCTTTAATTGTTTCAAAGTGGCAATTTTCTATTACTTGATGGGACTATCAAACCTCACTGCTCTTGTTAATGTTTTTTAGAATTCACTTTTGTAAAGTTTAAAATTAATTTTAAATTTCAGAATCATTTCTTTTGTTATGTGAGCATTTACATTGCATTTAATACTGCTGAATCTTAAAGTATTGCAATGGTAAAGGGTAAACACAGTTGCTAAGTAATTAAATGAAATTAAAAATGAGTTGAACAAACACTGAGTGCCAATAAGTAAAAAATTTCATAAAACCATGTCTGTTAGTATAAATTCTCTTAATAGCAGATAGAGCACTTGACAGTGTGGGAAGTAGCTGGCCTATTGTTAGGTTCTGACCACTATCCTTGTCACAAAGGGGGAGGCCATGGCTCAGGAGGGACACAATGATTTCCAGCTTTCTTCAGTTCTACCAAATTTAACCACGTATTCTTTTAAAACTATGCTTTCATCCGATACATGTTATACTTTTCTGTAGTTCAGTGTGATTTTTTAAAAATTTTACTCTTGAAGAGCCTCAAAATTCAGACCAAGAGTGCCATCGGTTCTGTTTTAACACTTGTATAGAAATGTGTTCTAAGATGATTCATAGATTAGGGAATGATATGAGCATAACACAACTTCACTGTCACTTATGCATTATTTTGCTGTAAGAAGTACTAAGTGAATCTGCAATCTGCATCCAGCAGAACTCAGTCACATAAGAATTCACAAAACACATATCTGCATATGCTTCAAACATTTTACCAGCTATTTCAGTTCATTGTCTGTTTTCTGAAGCACACTCATCCACATCTGGTGATACAACTTTAGATTTACTTTTAGACCATGTCTCTTATAAATTTTCCCAATAACTCACCAGCTAAAATCCTTCCAATAAAGTTCACTTCTATAAGCAAAAATCACAGGTATTTTTCAAGGCTGGGTATATATTTGTTGTAGTATTTCTAGCATTTTGTAACAATTAACGTGTAAAGCTGTGATACCATATTTATTAGATTGCATCTTTATTTCTATGTGTTACTAATGAAGTTTTGTGTTGTTTGTTTTTTGAGATAAGATTTTTCTATTGTTCAAGGCCTTGAACTCCTGGGCTCAAGCAATCCTCCTGTCTCAGACTCGTAAGTAAATGCAACTATAGATACATGCCATGATGCCCACCTACTACTAAGAATTTTTGACTGAAGCTCCTCACCTCATTTCCCCCTCAAGTCCTGTGCTTTTCATTGCCTGATT